ACCATACGCAAATCACACAATCACACAGTTTCGCGGCACTATTAAGACTATCCACAACCACGCATAATCTTCTCACGTTTAACATAAGCGAAATATCATCGAATAACTCGGAAAAACTCAGCCTATTGCCAGATAAACACCTTTGGACTTTTCTCTTACACTCGTCTTATTCAAGTTCCCGGATGTAGAGTCACACGGTCGGCGGATCACCTTAGCCTTGTTTTCACACCCGAAAAAGTCTTGGCCCGGGTCAGAGTTCACCGGCAATTTTGCTCTCACCTAATTCATTTGACTCCTAAGAGCCTGTTCCCGAGGCCAAAGACTTATTGGTCACCATAGAAAAGCCAACAATATCGTACCTTTCTGTCTCAGCCCGGACCAGGGTGATTGATCCGTTTAGCCAAATGAAACGAGAATATAATACGATATTGTACGATGCAGACTCTGCGAATCGTAATAACTTTCTCCCATCTCAGAGCTTTACATGATGCTCTCCGGGAAACTTTTCTCAAGATGACCAATATATAAAACTAAACTGCTAAACGGCACCGAAACCAGCTTTAGGCGCGCGCTGATTTCAGATAACTGTCACTTGTGTTAAAGAAAGGATTGTGGGTAGGGAAAAAAATCGGCAGGGGGTGGAGGGGGTGGGGGGTAAGATAGTAATTCTGTCTACATCCACTTCTACACAAATCCCTAGCCACAAAAGAAGCAAACAAAAAAGAAAAACGACATAAGCAAACAACACAGTAAACATATGTCAAGCTATAAGACAGGGGAAGTTGCGAAAAATTACAAAATGTTTGCTAACCCGGTTTTCATAACTCCAGGTAGAAATAGAATAGGTATTTATTTTTTTAATTTTAAATTTAATTTAGTTTATATATAGTTTTTCTTACGCACGTACATTTTTGTAACGAGCCTTCTTTAGGCTCACTGATGTCACGTGTTTAAAGAAAGATTATCTTATCTATATTATCTTAGTGTTTTCAGTGTGTTTAAAATTGAAAGTTAGCATTTTTCTTGATTTTGAAGGGAGGTGCTGTTGGGACTCAGGGAAAGAATTACCCAACCCAAAACAGTGAGGATGTTTGCATGAGGTATTTTTCTTGTTATTGTAACTTGTTTATTATACACTTAATGTCAGATCCCGAGGGAAACAGTTAGTTTTGTTTTCCCGAGAGTCCTGATGTTTCCCGAGACGAATAATTCAGTAGTACTATAGAATATATTTCGTTTTTTTTTTTTTAACTTTGATGAGACGAAGTAAGCGCGATAAGTTTCAGGTAATACCATGCTAGGAAATGTTGAATGTTAAGCATGTGAAATTTCAGGCCTCATGAGTGAGGATTGCGGGCGACTTTTCTGTGAATTTTGGGCGACAAAACTCATATTATCAGGTCTTCAAACGACACCACTTTCGAGCACCTTGACCGTCACTTCATTAGATCGAGCTCGATGAATTAATTTAATGACCGAACGTTATCAAACAAATGATTGCCTTCAAGAATTACACTCGGACTACTTTTAATTTGGTTCTTTTTCTCTTTTCTCAGTGTGTGAGTGACAGAGATTTCTAGGATCGAGCTTTAGTACTCTAAACATGCCGTATTATTGTGGCAAAAACAAAGAATCTGTCAGAATTAGTAACAAATATATCACGTGATTTCCTCACCGCGTGTATTAATATCGGTGTAGAGTTTCAATCTTGTATGATTTCATTTTTTGGTAGAATAAACGTGGATCGATTATATTTGGTTCTGGTGTTCGATACGATTTATGGTTTTAGTTTACGATACGATTTATGAGATGGCGCCCAACGTGGGGCACTGATACCCTGAGACTCGAGAAGACAAAATGGTCGAAAAACTAGCGCGTACTCGCGCCAAACGTGGTGGAAATCGAAGTGTTGTGACGAAATTATCCAACGAAGCGAATGATCTTCTTGAAGTTGAACCCATCAACAAACAACGCCTGGAGTTTATTGCTGCTTCACTAAACGAGAAGTTAAATTTGGTCAAAACGTTCGACGAGGAAATTATAGAGAATTGTGCTGTGGAAGAAATCGAAGCAGAAATAAAGGAATCAGATGAAATTAATTCACGCGTCATGGATCTATTGCGATTGATAAACGAAGCGACTACTCCTAAGGATAACAACGCAGGAATTTCGACTGTCCCAACTACGAATGTCAGCGAAACTACATCCTCTGGTTTGAATGCAAACGAGACTGCGCCCTCTGGTTTTCAACAATCGACTGCACCTTNGCACGAATGCTAATTTAATGTCCAGTCAACCCAAGGCGAAACTGCCCAAACTAGCGTTGCCAAAATTTCGAGGCGAAGTGATCCAATGGCAAAATTTTTGGGACAGTTTCAAAAGTGCGATCCATGTAAACCAGCAGTTAAGTTTAGACGACAAGTTCAGTCATTTACATTCTTTATTGGAGGGTCAGGCGGCTAGAGCCATACAACGTCTAACGAGGACCGAAGCAAATCACAATTCAGCTATCGAGATATTACAGATACCTTTTGGCAAGCCCCAGAACATTATTTCAAAACACATGGATGAAATGCTTAAGATTCCAGGATGTGTCAATGACAACGCGCCACAGCTTCGACTCGTGTACGATAAAATTAGCGTCAACATTAGAGGTTTGGAGTCATTGGGTGTAAGCTCAAACCAATACGGTAGTCTCTTAATTCCAGTTATTATGTCAAAGCTACCTCATGAAATTAGAGTTCAAGTCGCTAGAAACACTGCGCTTGAGGTCTGGGACACGTCCGAATTGTTAGAAGTTGTCCGACAGGAAGTTGAGGCTCGTGAGATTAGTGAAGGCGTGAAGACCAACGTAAATCTCGAAAAGGTCAATCCCAAACCGCAAAGGAAACCTACCGCGAATGCTCACGTGTAGACGCGAACAATTACCCATATTTATATGCACTCAAATTGGCTGATTACTCCGATTCCGAAGATTCGATAGACGTTCTCATCGGATCTGACGACTATTGGAATTTTGTTACAAGTGGAATCGTTCTAGGAGACTTTGGTCCCACTGCAGTCAATAGCAAATTTGGTTGGTTGTTGTCAGGCCCAACAGAAGCCGTTATCAATCAAGAAACAACCGTGACAAATCTCACTATAGCCGGAAATAGCAACAGCTTGTTTGATTACACCCAAGATGTCCTCGTGATACTCTAAAACAGTTCTGGGAGACGGAGTCAATTGGAGTCAAGGAAGTTTCAGAAATCACGAAGTCGCAAGATGGTTTTAACAAGCAGGTCCGTTTCAATGGACAACGTTACGAAGTGCCGTTGACTTGGCGTGATAATCATCCAGCAATATCGAGTGACTATGAACTATGTGTCAACCGCCTTAAATCACTGCAACGAAAATTGTTAAAGGAACCGGAACTGATTCGCGAATATAATCAAATTATTGAAGAGCAATTGAGCAAGGGAATCGTGGAAAAGGTCGCTGCAGAGGACAATGAGAAAGAAAACGTACACTACCTTCCACACCAGGCCGTGATACGAAGAGACCGCGAGACAACCAAACTAAGAATTGTGTACGTTGGTTCAGCCAAGCCCCCCAAACGTACTCACTCGTTGAACGATTGTCTTGAAACCGGGCCAAATTATACTCCACAGTTATTCGACACACTGGTTAACTTTCGCTGGCACAAGATTGGTCTTACGGCTGACATAGAAAAGGCCTTTCTCATAGTTGGAATCAACGAAACGGATAGAGATATGCTAAGATTCTTGTGCCTTAAGGATCCTGATGATCTGAACTCTGAGATTGTACATTTGAGGTTCACCTGTCTCGTGTTTGGACTCAGACCATCTCCAGCTATTTTGGCATCAACGATTCGACACCATCTGGACTCCCAAGTGTCTGAGGAATTCAAACCGCATTTCATTGAGCTCTTGAAGAAATCCCTCTACGTAGACGATCTTGTTACCGGCGAAGGAGATGAAGCGAAGGCGTTGGAGCTGTGTTCGAAGTCCAAATCACTTATGCAACGGGGAGGATTCAATTTAAGAAAATGGAAAACGAATTCAAAGATTGTGCGAGAGGCAATCAATGGAATCAACCTGGAAGCACGAAGACCATTACCGAAGAAGACGAATCGTACGCAAAGACTACGAAAGGACCTCCAATTACGGCTGGCAGTACCTCCGAAAACGCAATCGTCAAAGTATTGGGCTCAATTTGGAACACTGACACCGACCAGTTTACGTTCGATTTAGTAGATCTCTCACAACACGCAAGTTTACTCTCGACTACGAAGCGATCGTTATTAAAGATCTCAGCCAAGATATTTGATCCTCTCGGACTGTTGAGCCCGTTTACTATCCAGTGCAAGGTCTTATTTCAAGAACTTTGTATTGAACGCACCGATTGGGACGACCAGTTAAAAGGTGATCACTTGAAGAAATGGAAATCACTGATTCTTGAGCTTCCAACACTCAACAGTGTTTGTATGCCAAGATGTTATTTCGACTACACGTCTGGCAATTTGAAAGCAGCTGAACTTCACTGTTTCAGTGACGCTTCAGAAAAGGCTTACGCTGCAAGTATTTATGTTCGCTCCATTTATGAGGATGGACGCATTGATGTAAAATTGGTTGCATCGAAGACTAAAGTCGCACCGCTGAAGAAACAAAGCATCCCCAGGCTTCAGCTACTTGGCGCTACAATTCTCGTACGTTTGGCTAAAACCGTACAGAACGCCTTGCCTCAGAAATTGGAAACCGTGTTCTAGGTCGACTCAATGACTGTTTTATGTTGCATAAGGAATCTCAAACCTTGGAAACAATACGTCATGAGCAGAGTGCAAGAAATTCGAGCGCATACAACTCCTGATCCGTGGAGGTTCTGTCCAGGCAACCAGAACCCAGCCGATATTCCGTCACATGGCATGTCCGCAAGTGAATTAGTCTCCGAGAAAAGGTGGAGGAACGACGCTGAATTTCTGTGCAAGGATGAAAAGGAATGGCCACAGGAGGACAATAGCCAATCGGATAACGAAAATGCCTGGAAAGAAATCATCCAGAATCCTGCAACTACTACACACGCTTTGATCAGCAGTACACAA